CTCTCTCTTGCTCTCTCTCGCTCTCTGTCGCTCTCTCTCGCTCTCTCTCTCTCTCTCTCTCTCTCTCTCTCTCTCTCTCGCTCTCACTCGCTCTCTCTCGCTCTCTCTCGCTCTCCCTCGCTCTCTCCCGCTCTCTCTCTCTCTCTCTCTCTCTCTGCTCTCTCTCTCTCTCTCTCTCTCGCTCTCTCTCTCTCTCTCTCTCTCTCTCTCTCTCTCTCTCTCTCTCTCTCTCTCTCTCTCTCTCTCTCTCTCTCTCTCTCTCTCTCTCTCTCTCTCTCTCTCTGTCCCCCCCCCTCTCTCCACTTTCTCTCTCTCTCTCTCTCTCTCTCTCTCTCTCTCTCTCTCTCTCTCTCTCTCTCTCTCTCTCTCTCTTCTCTCTCTTCTCTCTCTCTCTCTCTCTCTCTCTCTCTTCTCTCTCTCTCTCTCTCTCTCTCTCTCTCTCTCTCTCTCTCTCTTCTCTCTTCTCTCTTTCTCTCGCCTGTCTCCTCTCTCAACTCCCCCTCTCTCTCTCTCTCTCTCTCTCTCCGCTCTCTCTCTCTCTCTCTCTCTCTCCTCTCCCTCTCTCTCGCTTCCTCTCTCTCTCTCTCTCTCTCTCTGCTCTCTCTCTCTCTCTCTCTCTCTCTCGTCACGGGCTCGTGAGATCAGCCAGGGTGGCTCCCCCTTGGGGCTCCCAAATGATGCCCCTGGCAGCGTTTTGTGACCATGAGGCTCTCAAGAGATACATGTTGGGGAGGCCAAACGGCAATTCTAGCTGAGACGTCCCACCAAAATCGGCGCGAACGGGCTCGTGAGATCAGCCAGGGTGGCTCCCCCTTGGGGCTCCCAAATGATGCCCCTGGCAGCGTTTTGTGACCATGAGGCTCTCAAGAGATACATGTTGGGGGCGCCAAACGGCAATTCTAGCTGAGACGTCCCACCAAAATCGGCGCGAACGGGCTCGTGAGATCAGCCAGGGTGGCTCCCCCTTGGGGCTCCCAAATGATGCCCCTGGCAGCGTTTTGTGACCATGAGGCTCTCAAGAGATACATGTTGGGGGCGCCAAACGGCAATTCTAGCTGAGACGTCCCACCAAAATCGGCGCGAACGGGCTCGTGAGATCAGCCAGGGTGGCTCCCCCTTGGGGCTCCCAAATGATGCCCCTGGCAGCGTTTTGTGATCATGAGAGAGTGTGAGTGTGAGCTTAACTTATCTTATCTTATCTTGAAATCTCTTCTTATCATATCTTGTGCTATCTTATCTTATCTTGTAGTATCTTATCTTGTCTTGTCTTATCTGGTGATTATCATTGGGAGGAGGGAGGCGCGAGCGGGAGGAAGGAGGAAGGAGGAGCAGTGGGAGGCGTCAGAGTAATAACAAGAACCCCAATCCTTAGGATATGGGGAACAATACATGTTCCTGTTTCCGAGAAGTGGTGGGCCTTCTCAAAGGCTCGGAACCCCGAAGACGCAGAAAATTTCTCAGAAGGCTGGCGGGCTTCTGAGAAGCCCCGCCGCCTTCTGAGAAAACGCTCGGCACGGGGACAGAAACTTTGAACACGCTCGGCACGGGGACGGAAAGCACGTGTACTTCGTGAGAGCGCGCGATCGCTTGCTTAGGGTCTTGGAGCCCTGCCGGTGTGAAGACTGTGGCACGACAAACAAGAATCAAGCAAAGAACCGTGCGCAAAATCAATGCATCTCACATTCCTGGGCCTTCCCGGGGGGTCCTTTGGGGGCTTTTTTTTGTGCAGTCTTGGGGCCCTCTTGGGCGGTCCGTGAGCCCTTTTGGGCCGTCTTGGGGGGCTTGGGCCGTCGTGGGGCCCTGTTATAGCCCTCTGGGGTCCTCTTGAGGACCTCCAGTGGCCCTCTTGGGGCTCTCTTGGGAACCTATTGGGGCCCTCAGGGGCCTTTGGGGGGCCGTCTTGGGGCTCTGTCGGGCTGTTTGGGAGCCCTCGTGGGCCGTCTTGGGGCCCTCTTGGGGACCTCTTGGGCCGTCGTGGGGCGGTCTTGGGGGCCTCCTGGGCAGTCGCAGACGGTATGACAACGACAAGACAGCAAGTGTGCCAAAAAGTCACGTTTTCTCTCGGGTATGGGACGATGTTTGCCTCTTAGGGGTCCTCTTGAGGGCCTCTTGGAGCGTCTGGAGGGCCGCCTTGGCCGTCTTGAGACCATCCTGGGCCGTCTTTGAGCGCTCTTGGGCCTTCTTGAGGTCCTGGACCTCCCTGAAGCCGTATTGGAGGTGCCTTCAGCCGTCTCGGGAGCCTCCCCAGGGAGGGGGCCCGAGGCTCTGGTCGGCCAAGGGCTCTCGGCGCACAGACGCGTCAGCTTCCCATAGGCGGCGCGCCTGAGGGGGAAATGAGAAGGGGCGGGCCTTCTCAGAAGGCTCGGAAGCCCCCGGCCTTCCGAGAGGTGTTATAGCCATTCCCCGAAGACGCGGAAAACTTCTCAGAAGGCGCGAGGGCGTCTGAGAAGTCCCGCAACCTTCCGAGAAACCCTTCTCCTGCTCATTTCCCCCCCTCGCTTGCCGCCGATCCCAGCCCAGGCTGCATGCGGCTGCGGGATGCTGGCGCGCCGTTGCACCGCGTGCCCTCGCCGAGGCCCCTCCTCCGCTCGCGGCGGCGCCCCTCCGTGCAGAGGCCTGCCAAGAAGGGCGGGGGCATTGCTGTTGGCGGGGCTCGCGCTGCCCCTCGGCACTGCCGCCCGCCACGGCCTGGCCCCAGGCCGGTCGATGCTTCGCCACGAATAGATGTACATATATATATGTATATATACATACATACATACATACATACATACATACATACATACATACATACATACATACATACATACATACATACATACAAGACTGCAGTGGCGCTTCGCGCCATGCACCTTGGTCCTTGAAGTTTGGCACGCAGGCGGAATAGCAGGAAGGTCAAGCCGACGATTTAGCGATAACTCCCGGTTGCCTTTTCCGGCATCGCCGCTATAATAATGTTATTCGCTATCCTTCCTCCATGCTTCTTTTTCCTGATTTTCGCCATACTCTGCGCATTCTCTCCATCCTCCTCAGCTCTTTTTTGCGGAGGCTCCTCCTTGGAGAGCCTCTAGGGGCCCCACAAAAGTTGTTTCAGGCTTTCTTCAGGCCTTCTGGAGGCCTCCTGGGCGTATTCTGGGGGCCTCCGGGGGCTTCCTCGGGCCACCCTGCCTCCAACCCGCGGTCTCCCTGAACGACCGAATCACGATTTTGAATTCTTCGGAGGGTGTCTTTGGGCCATCTTGGGCCGCCATGGGGCTCTCTGAGGGCCATCTTGGACCCGTGTTGTGCCGTTTTGGGGCTCTCTTGGACTGCCTGGAAGCCCTTTCGGATGGTTGTGGGGCGATTTTGGGGCCTCCCAGGCGGCTTCGGACGCCCAGAAGACCGCCGTCTTGGAGCGTCGGGAAGCCGAAAAGAGGAAAACCCCTAAATTCACAATAAACAAAGAGAGAATCAATGATTTTTGCCTCGGGGTGCCTTCTTGGGAGTGCTCTTGGAGCCCTCTTTGGGGCCGTCCTGGAGGCCTCTTGGGCCATCTTGAGGTCACGTCGGTCATTCTTGGAGCGCTCTTGTGCTGTCTTGGAGGTCTCTGGGACGTCTCCGATGACCCCCCTGATCGCCCTAGGTGTGCTGGGAAGGCTTGGCAAAACGCCCTGCGAGGCCCGGTGGCCGCTTCGAGGCCCGTCCGGAGGGCCCCAAAGCCCCAGATCCCGGGAGTCCAGTTTTGAGGGGGGGACGGGTTTCCCCCCCGCGCAGGCTTATAGAAATATAGGAAGAGGAATGTATGTGTATATACATACATATATAAAGATGGATATGTGCGTATGTATGTATGTATGTATGTTTGTTTGTATGCATGCATGTATGTATGTACGTACGTACGTATGTATATATATACACACACAGACACCCTCCAACGACTTTGGCATGTACCTCCCTGTGAATAAAGTCGCTGGCTCTCCGCGGTTCTCTATACACCGCCACCCTCCCCCAGGGCCCAGGAACAATCCCGTGGAGGGTGTCTGTCTAATTTTTTTTTGCGGCGGACACGCCCGCTCGCTCCCTGGATCGCCCAGGCCCCGCCTCGCGCCGCCGCCCTCTGGAGGAGCGCACCGCGGCGGCCCAGGGCGCGAGGCACGCAGCGCGATGGTTTGTCTCTGCATCCCTGTGGGTTGCCCAGCGCATCCAAGCATGCGGAGCACGCGTGCGCCAAGGCCCAGTCACGTCCAGCCGCGTCACCAGGTCCATGCGATCGCATCATGTTGTGCTACATCCTCACTGCGTGTGCAAGGCCAGTCCGTCGGGAAAACGTTGCGTCGCAGAGCGCCAACCAGGAACACACGCCGCCACTTGTTTGTGGCAGCAGGCCAAGCCCTTGCAATGCTAACAGTCTTGGCTTAATCCTGCCTTCCAGCGAATATGAAAAGTACCTCGGGTGCGACGTGATGTCTGTAACATCAACATGGGCCGCTTGCAAAAAGTTCAGTTTCGGCAGAATGTTCTTATTCACATCCAAGCCCAGCACTTGAGGATGTGACGACGCCATCTTCAACACGGCCTTGCGGTCGAAGCCCGCCGCCCCCAGCAGGGCAATGCGGCTCTCCACATCGTAGCCCAGCACTGAAGGAAACGACGACGCCATCTTGAGCACGACCTTGCGGTCGAAGCCCGCCGCCCCCAGCAGGGCAATGCGGCTCTCCACATTGTAGCCCAGCACTTGAGGACACGACGACGCCATCTTCAACACGGCCTTGCGGTCGAAGCCCGCCGCCCCCAGCAGGGCAATGCGGCTCTCCACATCCAAGCCCAGCACTTGAGGAAACGACGACGCCATCTTCAACACGGCCTTGCGGTCGAAGCCCGCCGCCCCCAGCAGGGCAACGCGGCTCCCCACATCGTAGCCCAGCACTGGAGGAAACGACGACGCCATCTTCAACACGGCCTTGCGGTCGAAGCCCGCCGCCTCCAGCAGGGCAACGCGGCTCTCCACATCCAAGCCCAGCACTGGAGGAAATGACGGCGCCATCTTCAACACGGCCTTGCGGTCGAAGCCCGCCACCTCTAGCAGGACAATGCGGCTCTCCACATCCACGCCCAGAACTGGAGGATGTGACGACGCCATCTTCAGCACGGCCCTGCGGGCGAAACCCGCCGCCTCTAGCAGGGCAATGCGGCTCTCCACGTCGTAGCCCAGCACTGGAGGATGTGACGACGCCATCTTCAGCACGACCTTGCGGTCAAAGCCCGCTGCCTCTAGCAGGGCAATGCGGCTCTCCACATCCAAGCGCAGCACTTGAGGAAACGACGACGCCATCTTCAGCACTGCCTGGCGGTCAAAGCCTGCCGCCTCCAGTAAGGCAACGCGAGCTTCCGCTCTGCGGCCTGCGGCCGTAGTGATGCATCGTCTCGGAGGCTGACTGATAAACGCCAGCGTTGGTGGTGAGCCTCTCGCCGCTAGCCACCTGCCTCGGATTCCGACGGAGGGCTTCCTGCAGGACTGAGCTGTGGTCGGCTGCACGATCTGCGTAGCCCTTGCCCGCCGCATGAACATGGTGACAGCTGAGCTACCGTGGGTTCGTGTCGGGTCGATCCCGGCGTTGGTTCCTGACACCGCGTGGATCGTCCAACCTTGAACGAACGGCCGTTTCCGAAACGCCCAGATCGTTCAACATCGACCGATTCTGGGTCGCCCGCGGCGTTCAACGCTGAGCGCCAGCGGCGGGATCGCCGCCAGTCGACACGACGCGAACCTGCCGTAGGTCTTCCCCCCTGACCGGTCGCGCACGGCAGCGGTTCTATACCGAAGGCCGCGAGGGCAGGAGGGCGGGCGCCGCGCCAAGAGGCGCCGCACGGAGAGGCCTCCTTCGGCGGCGAGCCCAGGGAAGAAGTGAGAGAGTGAGGAAACGAACTCCATACACCGACGATTTGTCTGGCCCTACACTGCAATTTACACAGGAAAGCGGATCCTGGTCTACGGGATCCTGGTGTATACATTTTTCGGCGTTTCCCCGGGAGGCGGATAAAAGAAATACACACCGCACCACCCCGACGTCGTCACCGACCCTCAAAAAAACCTGGGGTTGAAGAACACCCCGCCACTGGCAATGTACATACCCTTGTTTCCGGGAAGCGGCAGGCCTTCTCAGAAAGCTCGGAAGCCATCTGGCCGTCTGAGACGGCCCTTCCCCGAAGACGCAAAAAAACTTCTCAGAAGGCCGGCGGGCTTCTGAGAAGCCCCGCCGCCCTCTGAGAGGGCCTTCTCCTTCTCACTCCCCCCCTCGCTCGCCGCCGATTCCTGATACCGAGGCGAGGGCACCAAGGAGGAAGTCGACTCAGCACTGGCCCTCGGCCGGCGTCGGAGCACACAGGCTGCGCCAGGATGGCCCGCGACAGAGTTGGCTGCACCACAACGGCGCGAGCCGAAATGGCCTCGGACGCCATATGAAGACACCACGGAAGCTACCTGGCCGCCTCGCGGCGCCTTCGCAGCGACCGCCTCCCGACACGGTACAGTGGAGGCCCGACCACAAGAAACCTTCTTGAGACCCCAGGACGCCCATTGAGTTCTGGCGTGGGAACGTCACGCTCCACAGCAAAACCATCGAAACCCAAGAAACCCATGGCACCATGAAGGCAAGCAGGATGTTTCTTGGCATGGGTCTCCACTGTATATCGAGTGGACAGATTCAAGAGAACCCGCGCTGTGGATGCTCGACATGACCTGGCTCAGACGCCCCCTGCTGACAGGCATCACTGGATCCCCATCAGCCATCTGGACGCGTGTGGTTCAGGGAGCTAGTTCCTCCAACCTCCTTCCCCTTCGATCATAGGTCTACCTCTCCACCTACCCCCTCTCCCCGCACGTTCCCGGGCGGGGTGCGCTATCAAGACCCCATTGGCGATGAATGGGTGATTGGGGGTCGACGCATCCTTCGGGTCATAACTCGGGCCTCTGGCGGCCATCAGGGACGAACCGGGCACCCCAGGACGCCTCTAGGAGCAGCCGCTGGAACTTCGAACGCGTCCCGAGGCTGGAAAGCCGCCGAGAACCGACGACGTCCGAAAACTTTGAACACGCTCGGCACGGGGACGGAAAGCGCGCGTACTTCGTGAGAGCGCGCGATCGTTTGCTTCGGGTCTTGGAGCTCTGCTGGTGTTGGGACTTTGGCACGACAAACAAAAATCTAGCAAAGAACCGTGCGCAAAATCAATGTATCTGACATTTTTGGGCCTTCCTGGGGGGTCCTTTGGGGGCTTTTTTTGTGCAGTCTTGGGGCCCTCTTGGGAGGCCCTTGGGCCCTTTTGGGCCGTCTTGGGGGGCTTGGGCCGTCGTGGGGCCCTCTTCGAACCCTCTGGGACCCGCTTGAGGACCTCCAGTGGCCCTCTTGGGGCTCTCTTGGGAACCTTTTGGGGCCCTCAGGGGCCTTTGGGGGGCCGTCTTGGGGCTCTGTCGGGCTGTTTGGGAGCCCACTTGGTCCGTCTTGGGGCCCTCTTGGGGGCCTCTTGGGCCGTCTTGGGGCGGTCTTGGGGGCCTACTAGGCCGTAGTAGACGGTACGACAACGACAAAACAGCGAGTGTGCCAAAAAGACACGCTTTCCCAAAGGAATGGGACGATGTTTACGTCTTGGGGGTCCTCTTGAGGGCCTCTTGGAGCGTCTGGAGGGCCGCCTTGGCCGTCGCGAGACCATCTTGGGCCGCCTTTGAGCGCTCTTGGGCCGTCCTGAGGTCCTGGACCTCCCTGAGGCCGTGTTGGAGGTCTCTTCAGCCGTCTTGGGAGCCTCCCTGGGAGGGGCCCGAGGCTCTGGTCGGCCAAGGGCTCTCGGCGCACAGACGCCCCAGCTTCCCAGCCCAGGCTGCATCTGGCTGCGGGATGCTGGCGCGCCGTTGCACCGCGTGCCTTCGCCGAGGCCACTGGCTCAATTGCCCTCCTCGCCAGCGGCGGCGCCCCTCCGTGCAGAAGCTGCCAAAGGGCGGAGGCATTGTTGGGCGGGGCTCGCCCTGCCCCTCTCGCCGGTACCGCCCGCTACCGCTTGGCCCTGGGCCAGTCTATGCTACACAACGAATATATCTATAGACACACACTAAATACTAAATCCGCCGATCCGGCGCGTGTACTACAAGGAGCCTCAGCAAGAGCTTCAGTTTTCAGCTCTGAGCCTAAGCAAGAGCTTCAGCTCTGCTTCGGGGGGGTCGCCCGGGTGGCTCTGCCGGGGAAGGGGGGGAGGGGGGGGGGGGGGGTCCTCCATCTGGCGTTTTCTTAATGATTTGCGCATCCCCAAAATGTTTCGGGGGGAACCAGGGATCCCACGCCCCACGACTCTCCCCTCGGAACCCTCCCCGGACCCCTCCCCCCCGGAGAAGGGGGGAAGGGGGGGGGACGGTCCCCCATCTGGCGTTTTCTTGAATGATTTGCGCAGCCCCAAAATGTTTCGGGGATCCCAGGGACCCCCCTCAGATCTAGCTGCTACCGCCCCCAGGACCCTCCCCTTGGAACCCTTCCCGGACCCCCCACGAGACCGCTCCAGGCACCCCCCCCATGGGGCACGTCAGCTCCAAAAAGCGCCCCCAACGACTCCAAGAGCGCCCTCCCTCCCAAACAGCGTCCCCGACGACTCAAAGATCACCGAATCTGGAGCCCCCCGGATCGGCGGCTCTGGCCGGAGGCCATTACAATACTATAGACTCTATACTAGAATACAATATGATAGATACGATTTACGATATACGATATGCGATGTACTATATACAATGTACTAAATACTATACACAAGGACACCTCCTGCGAATGTTGCATGGAACCCCCATGTGTATAAAGTCGATGGCTCTCAGTGGTGATCTATACACCGCCACCCTCCCCTTGAGCCCAGGAACAATCCCGTGCAGGGGGTCTCTGTCTATTTTTCTGGTGGCGGATATGCCCGCTCGCGTCCTGGGTCGCCAAGGCCCCGCCTCGCGCGGACCGCGCCCCGGCCAGTGCGCGCCGCGCGGCCGCGTGTCGCGCCCTCGCGCCGCCGCCCTCTGGAGGAGCGCACCGCGGCGGCCCAGGGCGCGAGGCACGCAGCGCGATGGTTTGTCTCTGCATCCAAGCACGCGGAGCACGCGTGCGCCAAGGCCCAGTCACGTCCAGCCGCGTCACCAGGTCCATGCGATGGCATCATGTTGTACTACACCCTCACTGCGTGTGCAAGGCCAGTCCGTCTGAGAAACGTTGCGTCGCAGAGCACCAACCAAGAACAGACGCCGCCACTTGTTTGCGGCAGCAGACCAAGACCTTGCAATGCCAACAGTCGTGGCTTAATCCGGCCTTCCAGCGAAAATGAAAAGTACCTCGGGTGCGACGTGATGTCCGTAACATCTACATGGGCTGCTTGCAAGAAGCTTAGTTTCGGCCGAATGTTCTTACTCACATCCAAGCTCAGCACTTGAGGAAACGACGACGCCATCTTCAACACGGCCTTGCGGTCGAAGCCCGCCACCCCCAGTAGGGCAATGCGGCTCTCCACATCCAAGCCCAGCACTGAAGGAAACGACGACGCCATCTTCAGCACGACCTTGCGGTCGAAGCCCGCCGCCCCCAGCAGTGCAATACGGCTCTCCACATCGTATCCTAGCACTGGAGGAAACGACGACGCCATCTTCAGCACGACCTTGCGGTCGAAGCCCGCCGCCTCTAGCAGGGCAATGCGGCTCTCCACATCCAAGCCCAGCACTGGAGGATGTGACGGCGCCATCTTCAGCACGGCCCTGCGGTCGAAGCCCGCCGCCTCTAGCAGGGCAATGCGGCTCTCCACATCGTAGCCCAGCACTGGAGGATGTGACGACGCCATCTTCAGCACGGCCTTGCGGTCAAAGCCCGCCGCCTCTAGCAGGGCAATGCGGCTCTCCACATCCAAGCCCAGCACTGGAGGAAACGACGACGCCATCTTCAGCACGGCCTTGCGGTCAAAACCTGCCGCCTCCAGTAAGGCAATGCGGCTCTCCACATCGTAGCCCAGCACTTGAGGATGTGACGACGCCATCTTCACCACTACCTGGCGGTCAAAGCCTGCCGCTTCCAGCAAGGTAATGCGAGCTTCCGCTCTGCGGCCTGCGGCCGTAGTGATGGATCGTCTCGGAGGCGGACTGATAAACGCCAGTATTGGTGGTGAGCCTCTCGCCGCCAGCCACCTGCCTCGGATTCCGACGGAGGGCTTCATGCAGGACTGGGCCGTGGCCCGCCGCATGAACATGGTGACAGCTGAGCTACCGTGGGTTCGCGTCGCGTCGACCCCGGCGTTGGTTCCTGATACCGCGTGGATCGTTCAATCTTGAACGAACGGCCATTTCCGAAACGCCCGATCGTTCAACATCGACCGATTCTGGGTCGCCAGCGGCGTCCATCGCTGAACGCCAGCGGCGGGGCCGCCGCCAGTCGACACGACGCGAACCTACCATCCAGGTGGTCGCGCACGGCAGCGGTTACTACCGAAGGCCGCGAGGGAAGGAGGGCGGACGCCGCTCCAAGAGGCGCCGCACGGCGAGGAGGCCTCCTTCGGCGGCGAGCCCAGGGAGGAAGTGAGAAGGTAAGGAAACGAATTCTATATACACCGACGCTGTTTCCGGCCCTGCACCGAAATGTGCACGGGGAAACGGATCCTGGTGTATACGGGATCCTGGTGTACACATTTTTCGGCGTTCCCCAAGTATGCGGAAAAAAGAAGTGCACGCAGCACCACCCCGACATCTTCACCGACCCTCAAAATTGAAGAACACCCCGCCACTGGTAATGTACATACCCTTGTTTCCGAGAAGGGGCGGGCCTTCTCAGAAGGCTCGGAAGTCATCTGGCCTTCTGAGACGGCCTTTCCCCGAAGACATAGAAAACTTATCAGAAGGCCGGCGGGCTTCTGAGAAGCCCCGCCGCCTTCTGAGAGGGCCTTCTCCGTCTCACTTCACCCTCGCTCGCCGCTGATTCCTGATACCGCAGCGAGGGCACCAAGGAGGAAGTCGACTCAGCACCGGCCCTCGATTGGCGTCGGAGCACACAGGCTGCTCCAAGATGGCCTGAGCCAGAATCGGCTGCACCAACACGGCGTGAGCCGAAATGGCCTCGGACGCTATAGGAAGACATCAATTAAGCTACGTGGCCGCTTCGCGGCGCCTTCGCAGCGATCGCCCCCCGATACGGCAGCGCCGCATCCAGCTGCCACCCCCTAGCTACGCTTAGGTCGTGCATGTCCTCCTACAGGCGGATTTTGGACGAAACAAAAAATAGTCAGAACATGCTCAAAGATGGTCTAGAAATTATCGTAAATCGTTCCCATAATAACTTGTTTAATTATGTTTGGAACACTCCTCCTGTAGAGGGAACTGCCCGGCTCAAAGCTGCCCCGCTCCTTGGCCCTTCCTCCTCGAGCCTCGCTCGGCCGGCCGCCCGGCTCTCCCTGGCCAGTCCCAGCTCGGAGCGCGTCCTCGCTGGGCGCGTGGACTGCACAGCGAGCGGCGGCCAGTCCGCCAGAACCCTTCCACGGGAAGCCCAATCCTGAGACCCCAGGACTGAAAGCCGCCCCGCTCCTCGGTCCCCCTATCGAGCCTCCCTCGGCCGGCCGCCCGCTCTCCCTGGTCGGCCCCAGCTCAGAGCGCGTCCTTACTAGGCGCGTTGGCCAGTCCGCAAGAAACCTCCCACAGGAAACCCAACCCTGAGACCCCAGGACGTCCAGCGATCTGTGGCGTGGGAACGCCACGCTTCCCGCAGCAAAACCATCGAGACCCAAGAATCCCGGGGCACCCTGGAGGCAAGCAGGGCGTTGCTTGGCATGGGTCTCCACTGTGTACCGAGTGGACAGATTCAGGTGCCCTGGCTCAGACGCCCCCTGCTGACAGGTTTCACAAGATCCTCATCAGCCATCTGGACGCATGTGGTTCAGGGAGTTAGTTCCTCCAACCTCCTTCCCCTTCGGTCATAGGTCTTCCTCTCCACCGAGCCCCTCTCCCCGCACGTTCCCGGGCGGGGTGCGCTATCAAGCCCCCGTGGGCGATGAATGGGCGATTGGGGGTCGACGCATCCTTCGGGTCAGAACTCGGGCCTCCGGCGGCCATCCGGGACGACCCGGGCACCCCAGGACGACTCCAGGAGGCTCGGAATTGAGCAGGGACCGACCGTCCCGGCATTCCTATAGGGCTACCACGACATTCTCTTAGAACCAAGGAATGCTCTGAGAACGAAAACAAATTTCTTAGAACATGAACCCGATATGTTAAAACAAAACAGACTCAGCCAGACATGGTCTAAGAATTTTGTGTGCAGGCCACAACAGGTTATCAGAACATTCTTTGGTGGGCCTGTAGGCAAGTCAAGGCGCTTCGCCACTGCTCGACGGAAGTAATCCGGCCTTCTGAGACGGCCGTTCCCCGAAGACGCAGAAAACTTCTCAGAAGGCCGGCGGGCTTCTGAGAAGCCCCGCAGCCTTCTGAGAGGGCCTTCTCCTTCTCACTTCCCCCCCTCGCTCGCCGCCGCTTCCTGATACCGCAGCCAGGGCACCAAGGAGGAAGTCGACTCAGCACTGGCCCTCGCCTGGCGTCGGAGCACACAGGCCGCTCCAGGATGACCTGAGCCAAAATCGGATGCACCAACACGGCGTGAGCCGAAATGGCCTCGGACGCTACATGAAGACATCACTGAAGCTACGTGGCCGCCTCGCGGCGTCTTCGCAGCGACCGCCTTCCGACGCGGCAGCGCCGCATCCTAGCTGCCACCCCTTCTAGCTACCCTCAGGTCGGGCATGTCCTACAGGCGGGATTTGGACGGAAAGTTCTAAAAATAGTCAGAGCATGCTCAAAAATCGTTCCCACACGATTGTTTGAAATCATGTTTGGAACGTTCCTCCGGTAGAGGGAACTGCCCGGCTCAAAACTTCCCCGCTCCTTCGTCCTTCCTCCTCGAGCCTCGCTCGGCCGGCCGCCAGGCACTCCCTGGCCAGTCCCAGCTCGGAGCGCGTCCTGGCTGGGCGCGTGGACTGCACAGTGGAGGCCAGTCCACAAGAAACCTTCCACGAGAAACAAAACCCTGAGACCCCAGGACGTCCAGCGATCTCTGGCGTCGGAGCGTCACGCGTTCCGCAGCAAATTCATCGAGACCCAAGAAACCCGGGGCACCCTGGAGGCAAGCAGGGTGTTTCTTGGGTCTTCACTGTATACCGAATGGACAGATTCAGGAGGACCCGTGCTGTGGATGCTCGGCATGACCTGGCTCAGACGCCCCCTGCTGACAGGCACCACAGGATCCCCATCAGCCATCTGGACGCGTGTGGTTCAGGGCGTTGGTTCTTCCAAAACTCCCCCCCCCTTCGATCATAGGTCTACCTCTCCACCTGCCCCCTCTCCCCGCACGTTCCTGGGCGGGGCGCGGCATCAAGCCCCCGTGGGCGATGAATGGGCGATTCGGGGGCGACGCATCCTTCGGGTCAAAACTCGGGCCTCCGGCGGCCATTCGGGACGACCCGGGCACTCCGGGGACGCCTCGAGGCGCAGCCGCTGGAACTTCGAACGCGCCCCGAGGCTGGAGAGCCGCCGAGAACTGACGACGACGTCCGAAAACTTTGAACATGCTCAGCACGGGGACGGAAAGCGCGTGTACTTCGTGAGGGCGCGCGATCCCTTGCTCAGGGTCTTAGAGCTCTGCCAGCGCAGACTTTGGCACGACAGACAAAAATCTAGCAAAGAACCGTGCGAAAATCCATGCGTCTTACATTTCTGGGACTTCCTGGGGGTCCTTTTGGGGGCTCTTTTGGGCAGTCTTGGGGCCCTCTTGGGCGGCCCTTGGGCCCTTTTGGGCCGTCTTGGGAGGCTTGGGCGGTCGTGGGTCCCTCTTCGAGCCCTCTGGGGCCCTCTTGAGGACCTCCAGTGGCCCTCTTGGGGCTCTCTAGGGAACCTATTGGGACCCTCAGGGGCCTTTGGGGGGCCGTCTTGGGGCTCTCTTGGGCTGTCTTGGCGCCCACTTGGGCCGTCTTGGGGCCCTCGTGGGCGCTTCTGGGCCGTGTTGGGGCGGTATTTGGGGCCTCCTGGACCGTCGCGGACGGTACGACGACGACAAAACAGCAATTGTGCCAAAAATGCACGTTTTCCCAAAACGGAATGGAATGGGACGATGCTTGCCTCTTGGGGTCCTCTTGAGGGCCTCTTGAAGCGTCTGGAGGGCCGTCTTGCAACCATCCTGGGCCGTCTTTGAGTGCTCTTGGGTCCTCTTGAGGTCCTGGGCCTCCCTGCGGTCGTCTTGAAGGTGTCTTCAGCCGTCTTGGGAGCCTCCCTGGGAGGGGGCCCGAGGCTCTGATCAGCCAGGGGCTCTCGGCGCACAGACGCCCCAGCTTCCCATAGGCGGCGCGCCTGAGGGGGGAATGAGAAGGGGCGGGCCTTCTCAGAAGGCTCGGAAGCCCCCGGCCTTCTGAGAGGTGTTATAGCCATTCCCCGAAGACGCGGAAAACTTCTCAGAAGGCGCGAGGGCGTCTGAGAAGTCCCGCAACCTTCCGAGAAACCCGTCTCCTTCTCATGTCCCGCCCTCGCTTGCCGAGGATTCCAGCCCAGGCTGCATCCGGCTGCGGGATGCTGGCGCGCCGTTGCACCGCGTGCCCTCGCCGAGGCCCCTGGCTCAAGTGACCTCCCCCGCTCGCGGCGGCGCCCCTCCGTGCAGAGGCCTGCCACAAAAGGCGGGGGCATTGCTGTTGGCGGGGCTCGCGCTGCCCCTCGCCGCTGCCGCCCGCTACGGTCTGGCCCTGGGCCGGTCTATGCCTTGCCACGAGATATGTACACAGATATGTACCCCCTGTATTATGAAGTCACTGGCTCTCCGTGGTGATCTATATCCCGCCACCCTCCCCTGGGGCCCAGGACCAATCCAGTGGAGGGTGTCTGTGTGGATGTATTTTTGCTGGTGGCGGATACGCCCGCTCGCGTCCTGGGTCGCCCAGGCCCTGCCTCGCGCGGACCGCGCCCCGGCCAGTGCGCGCCGCGCGGCCGCGCGTCGCGCCCTCGCGCCGCCGCCCTCTGGAGGAGGGCACCGCGGCTGTTTGTCTCTGCACCCCTGTGGGCTGCCTAGCGCATCCGAGCACGTGCAGCACGCGTGCGCCGAGGCCCGGTCACGTCCAGCCGCGCCCCGAAGCCCATGCGAAGGCATCATGTTGTACTACATCCTCACTCCGCGCGCAAGGCCAGTCCGTCTGAAAAACTTTGCGTCGCAGAGCACCAACCAAGAACACACGCCGCCACTTGTTTGTGGCAGCAGACCAAGACCTTGCAATGCTAACAGTCTTGGCTTAATCCTGCCTTCCAGCGAAAATGAAAAGTACCTCGGGTGCGACGTGATGTCTGTAACATCAACATGGGCCGCTTGCAAAAAGTTCAGTTTAGGCAGAATGTTCTTATTCACATCGTATCCCAGCACTTGAGGATGTGACGACGCCATCTTCAACGCGGCCTTGCGGTCGAAGCCCGCCGCTCCCAGCAGGGCAATGCGGCTCTCCACATCGTAGCCCAGCACTGAAGGAAACGACGACGCCATCTTGAGCACGACCTTGCGGTCGAAGCCCGCCGCCCCCAGCAGGGCAATGCGGCTCTCCACATTGTAGCCCAGCACTTGAGGACACGACGACGCCATCTTCAACACGGCCTTGCGGTCGAAGCCCGCCGCCCCCAGCAGGGCAATGCGGCTCTCCACATCCAAGCCCAGCACTGGAGGAAACGACGACGCCATCTTCAACACGGCCTTGCGGTCGAAGCCCGCCGCCCCCAGCAGGGCAACGCGGCTCCCCACATCGTAGCCCAGCACTGGAGGAAACGACGACGCCATCTTCAACACGGCCTTGCGGTCGAAGCCCGCCGCCTCCAGCAGGGCAATGCGGCTCTCCACATCCAAGCCCAGCACTGGAGGAAATGACGGCGCCATCTTCAACACGGCCTTGCGGTCGAAGCCCGCCGCTCCCAGCAGGGCAATGCGGCTCTCCACATCGTATCCCAGCAATGGAGGATGTGACGACGCCATTTTCAGCACGGCCTTGCGGTCGAAGCCCGCCGCCTCTAGCAGGGCAATGCGGCTCTCCACATCGTAGCCCAGCACTCGAGGATGTGACGACGCCATCTTCAGCACGACCTTGCGGTCAAAGCCCGCTGCCTCTAGCAGGGCAATGCGGCTCTCCACATCCAAGCTCAGCACTTGAGGGAACGACGACGCCATCTTCAGCACTGCCTGGCGGTCAAAGCCTGCCGCCTCCAGTAAGGCAATGCGAGCTTCCGCTCTGCGGCCTGCGGCCATAGTGATGGATCGTCTCGGAGGCTGACTGATAAACGCCAGTGTTGGTGGTGAGCCTCTCGCCACCAGCCACCTGCCTCGGATTCCGACGGAGGGCTTCATGCAGGACTGGGCCGTGGCCCGCCGCATGAACATGGTGACAGCTGAGCTACCGTGGGTTCGTGTCGTGTCGACCCCGGCGTTGGTTCCTGACACCGCGTGGATCGTTCAACCTTGAACGAACGGCCGCTTCCGAAGCGCCCAGTCGTTCAACATCGACCGATCCTGGATCGCCCGCGGCGTTCAATCGCTGAGCGCCAGCGGCGGGGTCGCCGCCAGTCGACACGACGCGAACCTACCGTAGGTCTTCCCCCCTGGCCCGTCGCGCACGGCAGCGGTTCTATACCGAAGGCCGCGAGGGCAGGAGGGCGGGCGCCGCGCCAAGAGGCGCCGCACGGCGAGGCCTCCTTCGGCGGCGAGCCCAGGCAAGAAGTGAGAAAATATGGAAACGAACGCCATGCACCGACGAGTTGTCTGGCCCTGCACTGAAAGTTGCACAGGACAGCGGATCCTGGTTTGCACGGGATCCTGGTGTATACCTTTTTCGGCGATGCCCCGGGAGACTGAAAAGATAAGTATACACCGAGCTACCCCGACGTCGGCCGCGACCCTCCAAAAGTCCTGGGATTGGAAGGAAAACAATACATGTTCTTGTTTCCGAGAAGGGGTGGGCCTTCTCAGAAGGCTCGGAACCCCGAAGACGCAGAAAACTTCTCAGAAGGCCGTCGGGCTTCTGAGAAGCCCCGCAGCCTTCTGAGAGGGCCTTCCCCTTCTCACTTCCCCCCCTCGTTCGCCGCCGATTCCTGATACCGCAGCGAGGGCACCAAGGAGGAAGTCGACTCAACACTGGCCCTCGGCCGGCGTCGGAGCACACAGGCTGCGCCAGGATGGCCCGCGACAGAGTTGGCTGCACCAAAACGGCGCGAGCCGAAATGGCCTCGGACGCTATATGAAGACACCACGAAAGCTACATGGCCGCCTCGCGGCATCTTCGCAGCGACCACCTCCTGACACGGTACCGTCACGGTACAGTGGAGGCCCGACCACAAGAAACCTTCCAGAAGAAACCCAACCCTGAGACCCCAGGACGTCCATTGATTTCTGGTGTGGGAACGTCGCGCTCCGCAGCAAAACCATCGAAACCCAAGAAACCCAGGGCACCATGGAGGCAAGCAGGGTGGTTCTTGGCATGGTTCTCCACTGTATACCGAATGGACAGATTCAGGAGAACCCGTGCTGTGGATGCTCGGCATGACGTGGCTCAGACGCCCCCTGCTGACAGGCATCACAGGACCCCCTATCAGCCATCTGGACGCATGTGGTTCAGGGAGTTGGTTCTTCCAACCTCCTTCCCCTTCGATCATAGGTCTACCTCTCCACCTACCCCCTCTCCCCGCACGTTCCCGGGCGTGGTGCGCTATCAAGCCCCCATGGGCGATGAATGGGCGATTCGGGGTCGACGCATCCCCCCCTGAGCAAATCATGCACGACGTCTCGCTTTCGGGTCATAACTCGGACCTCCGGCGGCCATTCGAGACGACCCGGGCACACCGGGATGCCTCCAAGGAGCAGTCGCTAGAACGCGCCCCGAGGCTGGAATGCCGCCGAGAACCGACGATGACGTCCGAAAACTTTGAACCTCGAAACTTCGATTCCCCCTCTGGGGAAGCCAAAAGGTACCGATACCGCTACTCCCCGGACCTCTCCCCGGAGGCCTTCTGACCAGGATTTCGAGGCGAATCCAGCGGTGACGACGAGGGCCTCCCAGGAGGCCCAAAAAGGGGAAAACGAAAAAAAGGGTGGCGGTATGGGTACCGAGAGCTCTGGGGAGTAGCGGTATCGGTACCAGGTGAGGGGACATCGGAACTTTGAACCTCGAAACTTCGACCCCCCTCATCCGAATCCCACCCTCACGTTTAGACGAGCGCGTTCCACTACTCGCAAAGTCACTGCTCGCAAATGGCCTGGATCCCCCGCCAGGGATCTACGATGGATTACGTAAAAGCAGACAGGTATTTTTCGGACGTTTGCGAGTAGGCACTTTGCGAGTAGTGGAACGCGCTCGGCGAACGTTGCCCCTGGTGAAGGCAGCGGGGGGACTCGCGAGCACCTGCGGCTGGCTGCGGGGTGCCCACGGGAGGCCGAGGCGGCCTGTGTGAATAGCTAGCGCCAGTGGCTCCCTTCACGCAAGGTGCTCCTCTGTGGCTTCCGATGGCTCCTCGAAGGACATGCTTGCTTCGCTCGGCGGCGGCCAAGAGAAGGTGTCCAAGAGGGGGGGGCGCAAAACATGGCCAGCGGCATGTGCGGGGCCCCGGAAAAGGGGCCGGGGACGTCTTGAAATAAGAAGAGGCGTCATGAAATCTGGGGAGAGATCATGGCCCTCGCCATGATATCCACCCCCCCTACTTATCACCCCCCTCTTGGCCGCCCCCGATTCGCCACGGGCCCGTTCCTGATGGTCCGGAACCGTGATGCCAAAAAACGCACACAAGGCTGCAAACACTGGCAACCCAAACACACAAAAAAACAAACCACAACGAGAAACAATTCAGCAAAATGCTACACGCAAGGGTTTCCTGGAGAACCCTTGTGACGTAATGTGGCGTACCCACCCGGCTCGTGTTTGGAGTCGCCCATCCGTCCAACAACACTTGCTGGAAGGTTACATGACAAAAGCAAGAACCGAGACTTTTCAGCAGCAGCCGCTGCTGAAAAGCCTTACCCCATTTCAGCCTTAACTTTTAAGCCCCCCGGTTTCCTTTCCTCACCGCCATGGTCCCAAGCCCCGATGATGACAACCGCCAGCTCCCCGACGGATGGGAAGGGGCCTCCACCGTGCCAGAAAACCATCGCCGAAGACAAGGAACGCGCTGTGAGACCGGCAGCACCTTCCCCCCCCCCCTCTGAACCCCCGACCGACGCTTCGGCCACGCGACCATTCCCCCCGGCCATAAAACGGGCGCCTGACGAGGTGTGCACACGCGCGAGCCCGGCGGCGGCGGCGGCGGCAGCGAGCCAGCGGCAGCGAGTCAGAGGCGGCGAGGCGGCCCCACAGAGCGGCGGCCTCTGCAGAGCAGCCTGCATTCGGTCTCGCTTGTCCTGCGGGGACCCCCGGGGGTGGACGCATGGCGCACGGTGGAAGAAGAGGAGGGAGGGAGAACGAGGGGGGAACGACGAAGATAGAGGTCCTGGTTGCTTGAGCTGCTTGGCGCGAGTTCGTGGTTAATGATGTGGATTCCCCTGCCACTGCTTGTCCTCCTGCTCCTCCTCCTCCTCCTCCTGCTCCTCCTCCTGCTCCTCCTCCTCCTCCTCCTCCTCCTCCTCCTCCTCCTCCTCCTCCTCCTCCTCCTCCTCCTCCTCCTCCTCCTCCTCCTCCTCCTCCTCCTTCCTCCTCCTCCTCCTCCTCCTCCTCCTCCTCCTCCTCCTCCTCCTCCTCCTCCTCCTCCTCCTCCTCCTCCTCCTCCTCCTCCGCCCTCCTCCTCCTCCTCCTCCTCCTCCTCCTCCTCCTCCTCCTCCTCCTCCTCCTCCTCCTCCCCCGCTGCCCCTCCAAGCCGCGCACGATGTAAATTAAGACATCGCGAAAGTGCCGCGGCCCCCGCAAAGCGGAGAGATCTGACGTGCAAAATTTTGCTTCGCCCACGCGCTCCGGCGAGTGGCGTGACTGTCCGGGGCCCCTGGGGGCAGCCTGGCAGAGACCTCCCGGAACCCTTCGGGGGCCCTCTCGGACCTCCAGGCGTCGCGACAAAATAGCCTGGCTCTCGAGCGCGAAAAATACCCGTACCCTTACCTGGACAGGGTGGTAAGAGGCCGGGGGGGCGGTTCGTCGCAGCTGACGGCGGCTGCACAAGTGTAGAAACGAAAGCCGATCGAGTATTACAGACCGCTGTCTTCTCGGGGCGCACGTTAGCACCGATCGCACGTGCGTTCGAATCGGCGGAGTGCCCGACCCTGCGTTGGTTGTTGTCGATGTAGACCAGCTACTGCGGAGGCGCCCCCCAGACACACATCCGGGCGTTGAAAAGTCAACGCGCACTCGGGGGCGCATTCGAACAACTCTGGCGCGAACGTCACTGCGCGACAACAGCCCTATCGCGAATTGCTCGATGCAGAGACATCGCGAATCTGTGCCCTGGGCGAGGTCGCCAGAGGCCGCCCCCCTTGGACGGCCGTCTGCGGATCACCCCAGCGAGGTACGGTTGCCCCATGAAAACCTAAAAAACATACCCGTACCTAGCCGGGGTGCCGCAGCTCACCCCAGCTAGGTCCGGGTATGTTTCGGTGGTTTCAGAAAGGTCCCCGTACCTAGCCGAGGTGGCGGTAGGCTCAAAAACCTCTCGAGCACAGATCATGCCCTCCAGAGCCGTCCCCGACGTGGCCGCTGCGGCCCCCTGGGGGCGCGACATTGCAACGTCGTTCCTCAGGGCAGGCCCAGACGCATTGGTTGCCAGGATAGCGAGGACATGCAACTCTTTATCGATTGGGACAGGCGCCGCCACATATGGGCGGCTTTGAACCGCGCACGCACCACGATGCCCCGAGACGTCCCTAACAAAAACCAGCGCTTGTCGTTGCAATCAGACACCCAACCATCGAGCGCGCCGCTGCGTCTTGACGCGCGGATGCTGCACTGGCGCGCGCGGGGCAAGCTGACCGGGCACAATAGCAAGCGCCCAGTCCCCCGGACGGCCTATCTCACCTTGGCTGGCCCCGGGTACGGGTATCTTTCGGACCAATGACTGGCGACAGGCCAAGCCCTGAGCAGCTTCATGTAGCGATGGTGATGGAACTCGCTATACACGTGTGATTTTATATTTACACATAAGTAGATACTTAAACCTACCCGCACACACACACACACACACACACACGCGCACACACGATCCGTGTGAAAGATGTGCCGAACTGGCCGAGGGGGCGCACGGGAAAGCCACTCGCCGGAGCTCCCTGTGAGGCATGATCCGCGTGAGGAGTGCGTGTGCCGACATTGGCGGGGGGGGGGGCGCATGCGAACACCGCCTCTAGGGCCAAAGGCGGAGCCCCCCATGGATGACGAACGAACAACACACACCCATACCCATAAGGGGGTCGTTGGGAGG